AAAAAAACTTTTCTAAACAGTTAAAAGCAATGAAGAGCTGGGACATGCCTATGAGCACTTCCAGCACAGGCATCTTGGTTAAAGTACAAGAACATAGAATATACTATGTGCCTGTAAGCATGGCATGTTTAACAGCTACATAGGGTATGGCTTAACAAAGTTATTAGCACGCTTATTCTTTAACAAGAAAGGAAACTTTAAAGGGGAACTTTTTTACTTCCCACATGCATGTACGTGGAGTTCTTACAGAAACAAAGTGAAAACCCAAAGAATTGTCTTGAGAGCTTATAGACAATTTTAACAAAGGGCGATGAATTCTAGAAAAGTGACAAGAAAGGAAAAGAGGTTTGAGCTTCTGAGGCAGTAAATTATAGGAAGTTAAATCCATGGCGGAAACTAATGGGAGATAAGGGTGTTTTTGTTTTGTTTTGTTTTGTTTTGTGTTTGAGACAGAGTCTTGCCTTACCACCCAGGCTGGTGTGCAGTGCTATGATTGTGGCTCACTGCAGCCTCAACCTCCTTGGTTCAAGAAATCCTCCCACTTCAGCTCTTGAGTGGCTCTAGGCACATGCCACTACACCTTTTTAAAATATTTTTTGTAGAGACAGAGTCTTGTTATGTTGCCCCTGGCTGGTCTCAAACTCTTGGCCTCAAGAGATCCTCCTGCCTCGGGCTCCCAAAGGGCGGGATTACAGGCTGGATGCTGAGCTATCGCACATAGCCTGTATTAGTCATACATTGAGGAGAAATACAATTTCTTGAGAGCCTCAGCCTAGTGATCACTGGTATGAATAAACAATGTTGGGTGGCTGCCAGTCAAAGAGTGCAAATACTGTGTGTGTGTGACAACGAAGTGCGGGAAGCTAAGTGTAGGAAGAAAAAGCTTCCCAGTTTTGAGACGGAGGATCTTATCAGTGAGCCGAGATCACACCATTGCCCTCAAGCCTAGGCAACAAAAGCGAAACTCTGTCTCAAAATAAATAAATAAACATTGCACTCAAGCCTAGGCAACGAAAGCGAAACTCTGTCTCAAAATAAATAAATAAACATTGCATTCAAGCCTAGGCAACAAAAGCGAAACTCCATCTCTAAATAAATAAATAAATGCTCCCCAGTTTCAGACACGCCCCTCGGTGGGCACAGCTACCTCTTGTGTTTGGACAGTTTCCAAGTACAAGTGCTTCACACACTGTTCTGTCTTCTGTCTGATCACACCCCTATGAGGCAGCCTGGTTTTCTTATTTCTATTTTATAGAAAACCTACTTAGAAGTCAAGCAACTTGTCCAAGGCTACCAGCTTGAATATCTGACTCTCTCCACTTTGCTGCTTTACAGACACACAAACACACATACAGTATTTGCATTGTGTGTGCAAATGCATATGCGTATGTATATTTAACTTGTGAAGCTGACATTGACTCTTTAACTGGCCTCCACTCATCACTGTTTATTCATACCAGTGATCATGAGGCAGAGATTCTCAAGAAAATGCATTAGTTATTTCCCCTCATATGCCTAATACAGTTTACTCAAATGAGCTGGCATGTCCTTTGGACAAAATGTCCAAATCGCTCATAATTAATGGGCGAGGTATTTGAGGTAGGGCGGACAGGCTTTTCTTTTGGTGGTTAGTTCTTTGCCTGTTAGCTCCTGATGATGTCTATGTGTGAAAGAGAACTAAACTGCATTTCACTGAAAACACTCCTTCAGATCTGTTACAAACCAGATGAGGATCCCTTTTTCTAAACCTTCCTCAACACTGCTAAAGTCTGGCCATTCCCAATCAATCCTCTTCCCCTTTGTCTGCCTCCCACAGTAGAGGATGGAATATCAGACACTCATTTTCTCAGACTTCTTTGCTGTGGGGCCGGCCAATGAGGCAATGAGGTAAGTCTGCTGGTGCAGGGGGCAGATTTCCAGGAAATACATTTTCTCCGTGATAAAACAAAAGGAAGCCTGGAGCAAGCTTTCTCCCGCAGCCCTGGCACGCTCCCTGTTCTGGATGAGGGTATGCTGAGATGCGGTAACGGGAGCCAGGAGAGCCGCAGAGACAGAGCGAGGCGGTGGGCGGAGTCGAGGGACAGGAGGCGGAGGCGAGCCCGGGGGCGTGGCTTTCTCACTGCGGGGCGCGGCCTGCTGCCGATGGGCGAGGCCACGTTCCGGGGCGTGGTCGCCCGGGCTTTGGAACCCCGCCTGTTCGGGGCGGGGCTGAGGCGAAAGGGTGGGGCCGCGCTCCGTCGGGGCGGGGCCTGTGGAACCTGGAAACCCCGGTGACTCGGGGCCTGAGCGCGCGTCTCCTGGCGCGGGGTTCCTCCCACGCAGACCCCCATTCAAACGATGCCGAAGGGGCGGCGCGGCAGCCGCAGCCACAGCCCCACCATGAGCCAGCGGTCGGCTCCGCCCCTCTATTTCCCCTCCCTCTACGACCGCGGCATCTCCTCGTCCCCGCTCAGCGAGTTCAACATCTGGAAGAAGCTCTTTGTGCCGCTGAAGACTGGCGGGGCGCCGGTGGGCGGGGCCGCAGGGGCCAGCTCCCTGGCCCAGGCGCCCCCTGTCCCTGCGCCTCCGCCACCACCCGGCCTGGTTCCCCCCAGCGAGCGCCCCGGGCCCCCGCCCTGGCCCTCTGGCCTGGCCGCCATCCCCTACGAGCCTCTGCGCTTCTTCTACTCGCCGCCGCCGGGGCCCGAGGTGGCTGTCTCGCCTCTGGCCGCCCGCTCCTCGACCCCCAGGCTCGCCTCTGCCTCCCACCCCGAGGAGCTATGCGAGCTGGAGATCCGGATTAAGGAGCTGGAGCTGCTCACCATCACCGGGGACGGCTTCGACTCCCAGCGCTGTGCGTGACCTCGCCGGGGCCACCGAGCCCAGCCTCATTAGCCTGCCCTGGCTCCCTCCTCCGCTCCAAGCCCCGCCCCGACATGTAGCCCCGGTTTGACTCCAGTCTCTAATAGTCCCAGATCCAAAATCTATCCCCTAGCACCTAGACTCTCTTATCCTGGACTTCAACCGACTCCTCCCCCCACCACAGACCTGAACTTCATAGCCCGTTAGTCCCAAACTCTATCCTCCCTCCATCCTAAACCCTTTGAGTAATCTGGACTCTGAGCCTCCACACCTGGAACTCCATCCCCCACCACCTCGTCCTAAACTTTAATCCTCCCGCATAGTCGTCCCCCTACCCTGTACTCTGGAACTCCACCCACCGCAGACAGTCCCCAGGCTTTAATGTTCGGTCTTAAACAGGGGCTCTCCATGGGGGGAAAGGGAAGTAGAGAACTGTCAGTGGGAGTATCTATCTGTATGGGGAGGTGGGGATTGTGCAAGGCCCACAAGGCCCAAGGCCGTTCCCTGGGCAGCTTTGGGACACTTCACCTTCTCGGTGCTGGAGGGCAGCCCCCCAGGGACGCTGTGGCCCTGGTGCCGCCTGGAGTTCTCTCACCAGGTTTCTGGGCTGACGTTTGGCCCTGGACCAGGGCAGACCAGGTGTGCTGATGCTGGCAGGATCCCTTAGCCTGCGAGCTGAATGACTCCTCCCTGTTGGAGGGTAAAGTTGTTAAATGCGTTGTACTTCAAGAAGGAGCTATTGCGGCCGAGGGGGGCGGATCAGCTGAGGTCAGGAGTTTGAGACCAGCCTGACCAACACAGTAAAACCAATTCTCTACTAAAATACAAAAATTAGCCTGACATGGTGGCATGTGCCTATAATGTCACCTACCCCAGGAGGATGAGGCAGGAGAATTGCTTGAACCCAGGAGGTGGAGGTTGCAGTGAGCCGAGATTGTGCCACTACACTCCAGTCTGGGCGAAAGAGCAAGACTCCCTCTCAAAA